GGACCCTTCCCTCAATTGGCTGGTGGGAGAGAAATGGGTGGGGTTTCAAGTGTTGGTTTCATTCACCCAACCAGTTGTACCAGTGATCCTTCCTGTGCTCAGCTGCTGCCACCTTCTGCAGAAGCACAACCCTTGATTTTGGCGTGAAGGAGGTGTCTTCGAGTTCAGCTGGGAGGAATTAGGCTGAAAACGGTCTCCTAATGCAAAACCATGTTAGTGAGCTGACCAGAAAGATAAGCCAGGGTGGTATTAAAGTGCCAAGAGGAGTTTTCCCCCTTCTCTGCTGTGTTAGGGGGATTCCCTGCTGCATGGAAAATGTATTGTGTGTTTTCCTCCTTTGCATTAAAATCATTGAATTGTTTGGGTTGGAAGGGACCTTAAATCTTGGAATCATAGAACAGTTTTAGTTGGAAGAAACCTTCAAGATTATCTAGTTCCAATCCCTCCTGCCATGGGCAGGGACACCTACCGCTGGATCAGATTGCTGAAAGCCTCATCCAACCTGACCTTGAATTGTTCCATTGTTGGGTCTGTCACTTCTAGTGTTTGTCACCTTATGTTGGCCATCCCAGATCCTACCTACAAGAAGAGGCTCTATGTGACTCCCAGGCTTGCAGAAAACATTCAGCCTCCTGCAGTGACTCATTGCTTGGGATTCCCCATGTCCAATCAATTAATTTACCAATAATTTTCCCTCTCGTTAGACTCTAATGTTTATTTGGAAAAACATTTCCACCATGAGGGTGGTCAAATGCTGGACCAGGAACCCAGAGAGGCTGTGTGATTTCCACCTTTGGGGATATGTGATACTTGACTGAACAGGGCCCTGAGAAACCTGATCTACTCCCTTCTGATTTAAATGAGTCTGTCATTATGAGCTCCCTAGGACAGGACACACTGCACCACTGCTTCTCCAGGTGAACTGCATGTGTGATCACCAGCCCCTCCCCAAGAAGCCTCGGAGGGTAGTCAGAGTCAATCATCAGTCTTTGGGTTTTATTATCATTGTTTTATTTCCATTAGTCCTAAAGGTGTAGAAGTTACGTGGATTGGTAGCCATACTACATCAGTAATATATAGTTTTTTACATCTTTAAATAATTACAGCTTGTTCAGTTGGTTGGTTCCCCTCTCCCCCTTACAAATAAGTGTCTGTTTCCATAGGATCTTCCTAGACGACCCAGGAAGCTTCAAACTTTATACATGGGGAGAAGAAAAGCAAAACAAAACACCACCCCTGACGTAGTCACAGCTTCAATGTTATCTTAAGAGTTGTTGATCGGTTTTAAAGCTCCCTTATGATATTCCAGAGTTCCTCCTGGTTGCACCCTCTCCAGTCAGCCCAGAAAAATTGCAAGCAAAATTTGGGTCTCTTCTGATCGATTGACAAAAGAAGCAATTCAAGATAGTGCACTTCCACAATGAGAAGAGATATTTAGGAACAATTAAATGACCTTTCTACCCCTCTGGCTCCCCATCCTGGTTCTCATTTCACTCTGGTGAGCACTGAGCCATTGCAAAGGTGTGGCTTGGCACAGTCAAACCTTGTGCTGCAAACGCTTCAATGTCAAAATTTGCAGGTGTGATTAGGGATGACCTCTAAGGGAGCAAATCCCACAAATGCATTGGTGCATGTGTGCTTAAGTGTTTTGCAAGACTGAGCCCTTCTCTCTTAATCCTCAGAGCAGGGATGATTCTTGGGGCTACATTTATATAGGACCTGGCCTGGTATGGTCCTCACTAGGTTCTCCAGCCACGCTGCAATTAAATAAATTATAGTAATAATAATAGCAATAATTATCTCGCCTAATAATTGTATCTGAGTTCATTAGTAAAACAGGCTCTAAATGCCTCCCCTGTCATGGGAAGGAAAACAGAGCTTAGATGGAACCCAGTGTCCTGAAACTGGTGCCACTTTTACCTTCTTATCCTGTGAGCATCCCTTCATCTGTCACTGCTGGTGTTTGTCACCCTGTGGCAGCCATCCCATATCCAACCTACAAGAAGGGTCTCTGTGTGACTCCTGGGCTTGGAGACAACGTTCAGCCTCCCGCAATGACTCCTTGCTTGGGTGTCCCCAAGTCTGAGCAATTAATTCACCAATGATTTTGCTTCTCATCTATATCTTCTCATCAAAAAAATCTAATATTTATTCGGAAGCCATTTGCACCATAGGGGTGGTCAATAGCTCTGGGTGATTGAAAAGAACAACAGAACCAGGTGTATCTGAACTTCTACTACTCGTGGTGCAAAAAGAGGGACAAAAGAGTGAATTTCTACCACTAAAGAGGACTGAGTTGTCCTCACAGCCTCCAGAGCCTCACCTTTTGAAAGCAGACAGCTTGTTCTCTTATCAGGGTCCCTTGTAAGTGCTCTTCACCGTGTTTCAAGACTTATTTTTAAGGCTTTGAGGAAAGCTGAGAACCAGTTAACAAAGCTCTACCATGGCCATTTAGAGAACCTGAGGGAGCATAAGGCAGGCGTATGGCCTGAAGGGATTTTCCCCTCTTGCATTGCAAGCAGACTCCTTTATGGCATCTTAGAGTGTGTTTCAAGGGCAGGAGAAAATTTCAGTTTAGCTGAGGGCAGTAAGGAGGAGCGCAGTAATCAAGCAGTTGGACAGAACCTCTGGGAGCATCTGTATGGAAGGAGAAACGGGGTGTGTGATCGATCTAGACTTTAGAGTGTTTTTCAAGGGTGGGAGAAAAATTCAGCCAGGGAGTTTAGCTTTGAGGGCAGTAAGGAGGAGCGCAGTAAAAAAGCAGTTGGACAGAACCTCTGGGAGCATCTGTATAGAAGGAGAAATGGGGCGTGTGGTGGATCTGGACTTGAGCTCCTCGTCAGGAAGCCACCTGCTCCCCTCCCTCTCAGGCTGTCCAGGGTGATTCTAGATATCTCAAAAGTGTGTGTTAGCCAAGCGGCGTCTTTGTGGTGCACGCTTCTCTGTTTACAGACAGGAATTCACAACCAGATCCAAAGAGAGGTCGATTTATAAAGGAACATAGGTCAAGGAGGAATCTAGCTAAAGACCTCCATGCCCGAGGTGAAATGCCTTTGTGTTTTCACCCCAAATTCATATTTTTTTAGGTGCTATTTCTGGCCTCTTCTCTGCAGCCTACTGGGCCTGAGCAGAATCACAGAATTTAATTTCTTTTTATTAATGTTTCATGAATGTCTTTTACTTGTCTGTCATTAACAGTAATGAGGCTGGACCCAACATTAGGTCAGCAGCAGTGTGGAAACTGGGGCAAACACCATCTAGCCATTCCCATGGCATCACTGCCATGGGTGTTTTTCTCTGGAGAGTGCAGAGGCTCTGTCAGCCCTCCAAAAGCCTGCAAATCTTGAGCTACACAATAAAAAAGGGAATGTGGAAAGGTCCAGGTCTCTACTGTGATTCCAGTCTCAGTCTTTATCACGACCAGTCCAGCTGAATCCTTCTCCTTAAAGAAGCTTTTCTACCATCAACAGGAAGATGGTGAGTTCAAACAAAGACAATAGGATGCCATTCTTTTGCTTCAAACATGTATGTGGCTTTCCTCTTCGCCAAGCCACGTGTCTTGGTGTTTGGGTGGAAACACTCTTTGTGGGAATGTTAAACAGTACGAGGCAGAGGATGGCACATTTGGGAGGGACACATAATCCCTCTTCCAGATTTTCACTTGGTCGTTTTGTACTTGAGTTCTGGATGCAGGGTGGAAAAGACAGGAGCTGGGAAGGCAAGAAGAGTTTAGGAGTGGACAGAAACAAGAGTGGAGGATCTTTGAGGATGAGGTCTCCCAGAAAAAGCTGGGAAGTCTCCCAGGCAAAGCTGTTCTTCCTCAGAAAGGTTGATGAAAACGTCATGGCAAGCACCTGGTGAAGCACTTAGACTGCACAGGGGAGCTGCGGCATCTGCGATGCTGAAGTTTGCAAGCACATGCTAGAGAAAGAGCAGTCAGGGCCAGGTTAGGTAGAATTGATCCATTTGGGGAAAGGGAATGAGTCAGTGAGCACTCAGCATCTCTTCCAACTCCATGTGCTACGATTCCCTGGTCGCTGAGGGCGTTGCAGGCAAGAAAAAACACAAGTCTTGTTTAATACTCATGCGTGAATGGAGATGCTTCTCTTGCAGGCAAGCAAGTCTGTGCACATGCTTGGTAAAGAAATCGGCCCCTGGCTGCCTCTGATAGAGGCTGAAGCCTTTGCTTGTTGCCAAAGGTGAGGTCCTAAAGGGTTAGATGTGTGAAATGGTCGTGAGCCAGATGTTAGGGGGAAAGTGGACACTCACAGCACAGCCAAAGATAAATGGCAACCAGATTGTATCAATGACATCAAAACCAACATAGAAGTATGCAAAATAATTAAATTAACTGTCTCAAAAGCAATGCATCAGCAGTGTTAGAAGATCAGCTTTCACTCGCTGTGCTCTTGAATGATCTCTGAGCCTGGCTTGTAGTTATCCATAAAGGAAGAGCCCAGCAATTTTCTCCAGGATTTGATGACCAATGTGGGTCTCCTCTGCCTGCTTCCAGAAGATTTCTTCTTCCAAAATCCCCCTTTGACTTTGGACAGACCTTCTCCAGGCTCAGCCAACAACCTTTTGGAAACACAGACCCATGATTTTGTCATGATAAATAGGAAAGGAGTTACTATTAAATACGGACATTCATTAGCTTTTCAGACCATCTAAGAATATGAAGACAATGCTCTAGATGTGTGAGCTGAGAGTGTGTAGGAAAGAGGGTCTCTTTTTTTCCTCTGCCCTAGGTCATATGAAATCCACTAAAGCCACCACACCAGGTCTAGTGAAGTCTGTTCAACAAACTGTTCTGGAACTTGCTCCATTTGCTGGAAGATCACTGAGTTTGGGTAGTGAGAAGGTGGTGGCATTTTCTTCAGGTCAGGAAAAGAGTGGATGGTAGGAAAAAAGTGTCTCTGCTCCACCATTGTCTGAGTCTTAAATGCCAGCTATTTTTAAATAAACAGAATTCAAGAACTGTGTCCATCTTTGTGTTTCCAGCTACTTTATAGAAAGTGGTGACAATCAAATAGAGAGGCTCATTTAAAGTGGGGAAAGAAAAAGTTTCAAATCCATTAGCTACTTTGAGGTTTGAGTCTTCTCTGTTCATTTCATAAGAGCTCTGCTACACCTCAGATAAGTCCTCTTTACCTCGTTGCTGGAACATCTCACAAGGGGAGAGAAGGCAGGAGAGCAGGGGAGGTGGGAAACAACATTGGGATGATGATTACATGGTATCTTCTCTATCTCTCAAGCGCATCAGCCTGAAGTTCATGGGTGGAAGACCAGATTACGCAGTTATGATGTCCCCATGGTTTTCAGCTAACACCAGGCTGTTCCAGGTGTCCTGTTTGGAGCTGGTTTGTGGAGACTGGCTGACAGCTGACTGGTAAGCCTGCGGGGAAAGCTTCAGAGATGAAATCGCAGGGTGAATAGATGATCCATGTCCGGACATGGCAGAGACTGAGAATGCCTAGGGAAAAAGGAAAATCTTGTGAACAAAGCTTCAAACCATAGAGGACCATGTGAATCCCTTTATGGGGGCCTGGTGCTGTTGTAGTGACAAGGCTGTGGGTTTGCCGTAGAGCGGCAGATTGCAGCTGAGGCATGACACTTTGGACAGGCTCTTTCCATCTTGTTCTCTTCCAAATGTCACAAACGACCATTTTACCTCCCAAGGCTTGAGATTTGACTGGCCTTGGACTCTCCTAGCTCTCACATGGCCTCCTGTGGATTGCAGGACACATTAACAGTGCTGCAAAGTGCTGCAGGTGCAGGATCAGTCCAGCACAACACTCCACCAATTTTTTTTTCTCCAGAGAGAAAACTGGAGTTCCCCATATGAACCCCAACAAAGACTCTTAGTCGTGCACTGCAATGGGGATCATTAATCAAGGCACAGTTATTAAACCCGCGCACTGATCAGCTTCCAGAACTGGGTTTTGCTCATCAAGAGTGTGGATGCAGTGCTGGTCCCAAAACATCTACCACTTTACCTTGCAGCTCTCTGGGACAAGCATATGTAAGAGGATCTTTATTTGTAGGGAATTTGATACAGCCCTTCTGTGTCCCAAAGGCAACATTAAGCTGTCCTTAATTGTTAGTATGTTTTGTGTTGATTTTTTAGGTGGACTGGTTTGCTGCCTTGCTTTGCCTTCACAGGGGCTTCACTGAGAGTTAGGTGGTGTTATTCTCCTCACACTGCATTTCACACATTGCTCAACACAGCCAGTGCAGAAAATGTGGACTAATATTGCCAGGTTTTTGCTTGCACAAGACTATTCGAATGAAGTAATAAAAGGGTAATGGGCATTTTCTTGTTATGGGACCTATATAGCTGCTCAGCTAGAAGGAACTTAATGTTTTCAACAGCTGTTACTTCTTGTTGTTCATTCAAAACTGCCACACATTAATAAAAAGCAGACATGGTGACAAGAATGAGGGAGATTTGCCCCATCCCAGAGAATCAATCCCTTACTGTGAACTTTTAGACCCCTGGGCTGAAAAGAGGCAGCTTTTTTTCCACAGGCAATTTCCACACCACATCTACTGCCATAGAATCGTAGAATCATAGAATCATAGAATCATAGAACTGTAGAATTGTAGAATCGTAGAATTGTAGAATCATAGAATGTGTTGGGCTGGAAGGGACCTTTAAAGGTCATGTAGTCCAACACCCCTGCAGTGAGCAGGGACATCTTTAACCAGATCAGGTTGCTCAGAGCCCCATCAAGCCTGACCCTGAATGCCTCCAAGAATGGACCCTCCAAGGATGGACCCTCCACCACCTCTCTGGGCAACCTGTTCCAGTGTTTCACCACCCTCATTATATAGAATTTTTTCTAATCTAAATCTACCCTGCTCTAGTTTAAAACCATTGGCCCTCATCCTATCACTACACACCCTTTGTGAACAGCCCATCCCCAGCTTTTCTGTAGCCCTTCAGGTACATGAAGGCCACTATAAGGTCTCCCCGGAGCCTTCTCTTCTCTGGGCTGAACAACCCCAACTCTCTCAGCCTGTCCTCACAGGGGAGGTGCTCCAGCCCTTTGATCATTTTTGTGGCCTTTGGATCCGCTCCAACAAGTCCACGTCCTTCTTGTGATGAGGGCTTGATGGCTGGACACAGTACTCCAGGTGAGGTCTCACCAGAGCAGAGCAGAGGGGCAGAATCACCTCTCTCTATCTACTGTCCTAGTTCCCATCTTTGTCCCACTGCTGTCTGTACCTGAGAAACCGGGCTGGGGTGCCCGTAATGAGATGAGAGCCCAGGTTCTGTTTTTATGGGGCGCATTTCCTCCGTGGTCGTGGCACTGCTGCTGCTGCTGCTGGTGGAGCTGGTGGTCGGGGTAAGACTCTCGCTGCTGGATGGACCTGTGAGAAAGCAGACAGCAGACCTTTCAGTACAGAGCCATACCCACCCACCCAAAGTTAGTGTAGGTAAAAATAAAATAAAAATAGTGGGAAGGACTGTGTTGCTGCTCAAAGGCATCCAGACATCCCCCATTTCTGGAGAGTCAGCCCATTTTGTGGTCGGGTGTCTGACTCCAGGGCATGATGGTCAGAAGCACAAGTGCACACATCTACACACACAGTCAACTCCCTTGTTCAACGCTTACCTGCTGGTGTCTTTGTTTTGTTAAGGTTCTTTGGCTTGCGCTTCCTTGTCTGAATGCCCTCTTTTCTCATTGCTAAAGGCCTTGGAACCTACAGAACCAAATATAAAAACACATTAATTTCTGTATGGCCGTAATGTCACCCAAGAAAATGTGATTCCAGCTCTACTTCATAGGTCCCATGAAAACCAGCTGATTTAATTCAAACCAACAAGATAGAGCCCAAAGCCACTGGTTGTAACTGCTGTGTGAAGAGATATGTCAAAGCTACAAGATGTCCATCAAAATGGGAATATATAGGGTTTTCACATTGTAGCTATAGAGTGTTTTAAACCCAGAAGGGGACAACCGGTTGTATGAATAACTTTCCAGTTTAACTCTGGGCAGAAGATGTCTTTCTGGCTAACATCTGGTTTCTGGAAACGCACCGAGCCCTGAGTGAGGAGACATCCCTTAGGAACTGATGCCACGGAGGTAGCCACCCTTATAGTCAGAAACATGCTGGGATTTCTAGGAAGAATCGTTGGGTTAGGTAAGACTTCCCCCCATTCACTTTGTCTTTCAGCTTTGTCCTGTCTCTCATTAATGCTTTTCCATCCTTTCTGAAGCAGTGGACATCATTGCTCTCAAAAAAAACCCACTTAGCAAGCAGTAGCAAGAAGAAGTGGAATTCTGGTTTGCGACTAAGCCATCACCATGGTGTTGAAGGTCTTTCTCCACCATAGCGGTAGCCCCATTGCCACTGCCTGATGGGAGAAGGACTGGAGATTTGCATCTCAAAGTCCTGCTGTGCCTTGGACCCCAACAGGACTCTTGTAGATATATCAAACATGTTATAGATACATGAAGCCCTCCCTGACAGGAAGAGACTATATGGATGCCTGTGCAAGAAAAATCATCAATCAGTCTCACGGCAAATCTACAGCCAAGTCTTAGCTGGGATCTGACACCTTGCGTGGAGGAGCTCAGCCCTTCTTTGTGCTTCTGACTCAGATTTTTTACTCAAGAGCCTGAATTTAGGTGGGAAGAACCTGGGCCTAGTTTTATTGGGGTTTAAGACATGGATGCAAAGGTTGTGCAAATTAGCAGGTAGGAAATGCCCCGCATCCTTCACCCCTTGCCTGTATAAATGTGATTTAATGTTGAGGGCGACTAAAACCCGTAAGAAAAAACACCCAAAGAGAGCATCAAGTTGTGCAAAGAACCCAACCTGCAACTTGCTGCTCTTGAAACCCTCCCCACAGAGACCAACAAAGGTGTTACCCCGTGGAGCTTCATGTAGAGTCCGCAGGCATTGCAGACGGGCTCTCCCTCAGCGTTTCTGCGCCAGAGCGTGGTTGTCGTCGTGTGGCAGTTGGCACAAGAGAGGCCGATGCGGCGGGAAGCTGACTGCAAGAGAAAGAGGAGGAAGAGAACACATCAACCCTCCGCTGCTACCACCAGCAGCATCCCAGATCCCAGCGAGCTCTCTCCAGCACATCTCATGTTTTCCTCTTCTCTTGCCTTTCCTATTTGTCTTTTTCTCCTTTCACCTTACTGCAGCGGATAGCACAACCGCCTTTTTCTTCTCCTCTTACCTTTAAGCTTCTTCTCCCCTGCCTTTTCCCTGCCTCCTGCCTGCCAGTGCTGTGCAGGCATCTCAGCTGTCCTGGGTCAACTCAGCTGTCCTGGGGCATCTCAGATGGTGGCCAGACATATCTATTACCTGAACAGAGCCCCAGATCTCCAGTGGCTCTAGTAACAGCTTAGAGACCCATTGCACATGCACTAAGGTGGCTGGATCTTGGACCATCCCTGAGCCCTTCTCCTTCCAAGCATCATGAAATGTCCCCAAGAAAGTGTTGTCAATGCCGTGGAAGTTAGATACTCCCTGCTGGCTTTGCTTGATGTTACTTATGTGGCTTGATGGGGAGATAAGAAAAAAATAGTGTTTCCAGCAGTGTCATCTTCCTAAAGATAAGGAGGGTTAGTTAATAGGAAGCTCCAGTAATGAAGCTTACAGCGCTACAGGCTGGGGGAG